CCAAAGCTGCATAGCCATTTAGAGGAAGCTATGTCAAATGGAAGGTGCCAATTCTTGTATTTGCTCCTAGAGTGGCTTATTTGCTCACAGCAAGCCAGCTGGAAGGTCAAGTCAGATTCTTCTGTGTTGACAAGGGAGCCCCTTGTAGAGGTAGGCCTTGGCAGGTGCCCAAAGAAACCAACTCCTGAAGTTGATCCTAGGGAAAAAGAGGATGTTAATAATGATCTGCTTCACAGTGCAATTTTATAAGACAATCTGCTGCCCTGTGCTAACAACTTTGAGTTCTTCTTAATCCTTTATCTATTTATAGACAGAGACTAACATGAGTTGAAAAGACCAACAACTGCTGAAATGACCAAGGCTTCATTTAAAACACACTAGATTATCTCTTATGGGGGGCAGGAAAGCAGATGAACCAGGTTCTCAGAGCTAACGGTATTGGTTTTTATGTTAGTATTTATACACCACTCCGTTGGAGTCAGGCAGCGTCTAGACCGAAATAAATAATAAAACTGCCCATGTTTCTGAATTAATCCCCTATCTGGGTTCACACAATAAATTGAGCTACAAATTTCCAAAGAAGCTGGGTTCATATGACACGCTAAACCACATACACACAACAAACAAAATTAAAACCAGTCAAGCTTAGCATATGTGAGTGCGCGGTGGCTAGGATTTGAAGAGATACAGTTAAGCATGGACTGTGTCAGAGAATAAAAGTCTAGAATGCCAGCAAGGGTAAATGGCTGAAACAACTGGTATACATAGACTTTGAATTCACAAAGCATGGAGCATATATGATTACACCACCACATTTTAATCCACAGGTTCGAAGCTTGGTGTGGATTAGGATCTGTGCCTATATATGTACAGGTAGACCTCAATTTAGGAACCACAATTGAGCCCCAAATTTATGTTGCTCAGTGAGAAATTTGTTAAGTGAGTTTTGCTCCGTTTTTTTTACTTTTCTTGCCAGATTTGTTAAGTGATTCACTGCAGCTGTTAAATTAGTAACCCGGTTGTTAGGTAAATCTTGTTTCCGCATTGACTTTGCTTGTCAGAAGGTCGCAAAAGGGGATCACATGACCCCAGGACCCTCCAACTGTCATAAATGTGAGTCAGTTGTCAAGCATCTGAATGTAAATCACGTGACCATGGGGATGCTACAACGTAAGTCTGAAAAAATGGTCCTAAGTCACTTTTTTCAGTGTCATCGTAATTTTGAAAGGTCACTAAGTGAACTGTTATAACTTGAGGACTACCCGTATAAGACTATCAACCCTATAAATACACAGCCTCAGTTCACATTGAGCTTTCAGTTGTATTGGCTGAGGATATGCAACCTCTCCTTTCTGCATGCTTTCACTTTATGCAGCTGAAATGAGGAACAGTGTCCTTCAGACATTGTTTAAGCATTACTCCTCATTGGTTACACTGGCTGGGACTTCTGTATTTCAGTGATATCTGGAAGGATACAAGTCAGACAGATACACACACAGAGAGAGAATGGAGCATGAATAAACTTAAGGGAGGAGTTTTCTTGCATGGGGCTGAAATGGACTAGTAATTAAAATGAAAGTTTCCCCCAATTTTGTAATGGAATACTTTGGTTTGTGGGTAACCGGGAGGAAGATTCTTGGTCGAAGTAATCTGCAAAAATCTTTTACTATCAAGAGCAGCTTTACCCCACTTTAACTCATTTCCTTCATCCAGTGCCTGGTTCCAGGAAAAGCAGCATATTCTCAATACTCTCACATTACAATGTCAGTGCTTGTGATCCTGCCACGACGTTTGTAAAATGTAAGCTAAAAGGGGTTGCAATCAGAAGGTGATGCAGCCTTTCAAATTAAAATGTGAAACTTTTATACTGAATTATATTTAAAACACATGGTGGGTTTTTTTCCCCCAAACTGATGGGCTGGTGAGAGACTTTTGTTGCTGCGAGGGTGCTGTAGGACTTTTCTTGCTGCGAGTGAGGTTAATGGGAAGAGAGGGTTAACATACAACACTTAATCTCCCTGCCTTCCCCCCACCCCAATTAAGCATGCTGTGAAAACAGGGCCACAGAGCTGGAAGGAGCTATTTAAGCCATTGAATCCAACCCTCTGCTCACTGCAGGATCCAAAAAAACCTTGAAGTATCCCAGCAAATGTGTACCCAGCCTGTCTGTAAATATCCAGCATAGAGAGTCCCACCACCTTGCAAGGAAAATATTTATTTCACAGTCCTTGCCTTTTCCTTTGGATTTCAAGGAGGCTTATATGGGGAGGCCTCCCCATAATAGCCCAGTGAGAAGAGGGTTGCGTAGACAGGAAGAGCAGAGCTACTGGTTCAAGGTCTACCAGGAAGTTCTGTGGTTGGGGGGGGGGGAGCTTCTTTTCCACCACCCCTTCCAACAGTGGAATTACTTCCTTGCATGGTAGTTCTATTGCTGAACTATTCTTGCTGTTAGCCATATACCGTTCACATTGGACACAGCCTTCAATCAACAGGGATACTGAAGAGAGATGATGGTCTTTATCCAATACCAGAAACATCTTGAGGGGGAGAATCTGGAGGAGAAATTCTGCAAGGCAGATTGAAAGAAGAGCATGTGGGCTGGAACTTGGAGAAAAGTAGCATTGCCCTCCAGCTCAATCGTTTCAGAGATTTTTTTTTTCTCAGAGTAGAGACCTGCATATATAACTTTCCCAACCAAAACTGATTTGCAGTCTTACAACTACAATACAACCAGCAAATGTTGTCAGTCATTTCCCTTTGCAGTTTCCTGCTTCTTCCAAACGTGTCTTCATTTTAAATGGGATTGGGGGGGGGGGGGTTTGCAAGAGAAGCGCGTCAGCCAAGGCAAGAGTTCCTCTTTAGTCTGGATTGCATTTCTTGTGTTCCATCTCATTTTCCTATACAAAAGGAGGGAGGAGCACCATGGCTTCCACCTTGGGTTTCTGAATGAAAAGGTGTGGATGAAATAGAGGAGGAAGAGGCAGAGGCCTAGGAAAGTTGTGGCAAATTCTGTAGGGTGAGTTACAGACACTCTTGCTTTGGCCTAGCAAATAGACCTGTTCTTATATTTAACAAATCTACAATGTGCAACCTTCACTGCTGATTCCTGGAGGTATTCATCCCCCCCCTTTTTAAAATTGTTATGAGCTAAAGGAAGCTGAAGTTCATCCTGTCGCACACAACTGTGGGAACAGCTTTTCTGAGATACTTTTCAGATGAGTGTTGAAGCCCTTGGTTTTTCACCTTTTGGGAGACATACTTTGGGGCAAAGCTGGAAAGTACACCATTACTTTGTGTGTGGCCACAAAATAGTAGCCAGACCTGATGGATATGAAGCAGGTTTTAGGCCACAATATTGTGCTGATTGGACAAACCTGACAATAGTTTGATTCAATAAGCTTATCTTTGTTTAGTCCTGAACTCCCCAATCAATATCTCCCAAATTTGACATTAGCATGAAAGATATCTCATTTGTATCATTGCTCTGACATGTTCAATTAGTTGCTTGGTTTTGTTTCATGGCACATCCCAGCAGTGTTAACTAACTCTGGCTCAGCAGCTAGGTTTGTTTTCTAGCTGGTTGGGCAATTTACTAACCCACCTGAACTTTTTTTTTTTTTTTTGGCCACAGATCAGATTATCAATCTCCCATTCCTATTTCGTAGCTAGATCGAGAGAGAGAGAGATCCCAGCAGCAACTGGTAATTCCTCCCAAATCAATTTAATTGCAACTGCAAGACAGCTGTCAACGCACAACAACAGATTCACGATTTGGTTCTTTACTGCCATCGGCAATATCCCCCAACCCGGTCTCCCCTCCGTGCCCCCTCCCCTCCCTTCCCCTCAGCTGCCACCGCTGGCTGCGCATGGTGAAAAGAAAAAAAAGAAAAGAAAGTGGTTGCGACGGGATAGCCGAAGAGCCCTTGCTCGGGTAAGGATCAGGGTGCAAACTTGAGATCCGTCCAAGCACATTTTGTCCACTGGGGAAAGCACGCACGCTGCAAAGGTAAAGAGAGCGCGTGCGCGCGCCCCAGCCCACAGGGGGGCGCGCTCTGCCAGGCAGTGTAGGGAGCGAGCGCCGTCCCCCCTCCCCGCCTCCACTCCCCCCTCCCCTCCATTTGGAACTTTGCTGACTGCAAGGTTCTGAAACCGAACGTAGCGACACACGGGGGCGGAGGCGGCGGAACGTTCGATTCTTCCTTCGTTCCATCCGGTCTTTTCCTCGAGGGAGGGGAAGAGGGGGGAGTAGCCGATCCCGGGTCCACGTTACCCTCTACCCCACCGCGGGAATCGCTTGGAGGAGGGGAAGGGAAGGAAAGGGGAAAAAAAAAAAAAAAAGAGGAGGCCTTGGCAGCGCCACCCTCCGGCCGTCGAGCCTACTGCGCCTCCCCCTTTCTCCCTCGCTCACTCTTCCCCCCACCCCCACCCCCCCGCTCCGACTCTCAATGTTCCACACTGCCCGGCCACAGAGCGTCCTCTGCTGCTTTATTTCCCCCCCGGCTGCTTCCATCCCCCTCTCCAAGGACATTTTCTCTCCCCTTCCCTCCCCCCTCCATCCCTCCCCTCCGATCTAAACGTCGGGACAGGACGCCAGCGAAGGTAAAGGAGAAAAGGGTTAGGTGGCTGCATCAGGAGCCTGGGCGAGCAATGGTGGGGGGAAGAGAGAGGAGGGGGGAGCGGGGTGGGGGGGCGAGAGAGAGAGAGCGAGCGAGCGAAAGGGAGAGATTGGTAGAGGGAGCTTTGTTCTTGTTTTCAGCGCTCGCTGCCTGGCGGTGGTCAGGAGAGCCAGAGGAACCGGACTGAGTTCACGCCTCACTTGGTGCGCACACACCACACTGGCCGTGGTGGAAAGCTTCCTACCATAACAGCCTCTCCATACCTCCTGGCTGGGAGCTCGGCTCTCCCTACAGAGCCAAGAGGAGGAGGAGGGGAGCGGGAGGAGGAGGAGGAGAAGGAGAAGGAGGGGGCGGCGAGGGGGGGGGAGAAACGACGACGACGACGACAACGGCTGTGTATGTGTGTCTGTTTGTGTGTGTGTGTGCGCGAGGGAGAGAGAAAGAGAGAGAGAACGAGGGCAAAGCTTCAGTTTCTGCCCTGCTGCTGCATTTTTTTTTTCACGAGGACCAACCAACCTTTTCTTTCTCGTTTTTTGTTTTTTTTTTAAATTATACAATACAAATATCCAACCGCCTCCCACCCCCAGTTTCATCTTTCCGGGAAATTTTTTTTTTTAATCTTTTTTAAAAAAGAGGGGGCAGGAAAAAAAAAATATGTCGGTCTGTTTTGTAGAAACTGATCAAGACTCGGTGGCGTTGAAAGCTTTCCAGAAGGTGCAGTTTGAATTATGCTTCTTCTTTTCCTTCTTCCTCCTCCTTCCTTTCTTTCTCTCTCTCTCTCTCTCTCTCTCCCCCACCCCCCACCCCCATTTCCAGCCTACTCTGTAGTGACCAAATGTAATTCTTGTTGATGGCCGTGCCAACAGAACCCGAGCTGGCTGATTTCTGACAGAGAAAAAACATTGGAGTCTGAAATAGCAAATCCTTTCCAGCTATTTAAATAGAAGGAGACAAGAGGGAGTGGGTCATTTATTGGTTTGGTTTGGGCCTCCCCATTTGTATAACAGCTCAAGTATTGTTATTGGCAATATATTGGGGGGAGGAGGAGAATATGGTTGACTTCACTCCTTCTGCTCCAGTGTAAATATTTACAGGGCATTTGTGAGTTTTTTTTATTTATTTAAAAAGGGGCAATGTTTACAGCGTGTCATGAGTTATTAATGCTTATGCTTGCGAAATTTGCCTCACACCTTTAAAAATTAAATGATTGATATACTATCTGAAGAATTGTAGAACTGAGCCTGTAAAATGAAATGTGAAAACAGAATATATATTTAAAAAGAAATTCCTTCCTTCCTTCCTTCCTTCCTTCCTTCCTTCCTTCCTTCCTTCCTTCCTTCCTCATGGTAACTGTTGCTCTATAACATGAAACTGAAACTTTTAAAAGAATTGTTCAACCATTGAGTTGTAAGGGGGTCTGGAGTAATTCCACTTGGATTGAGTGGCTTGTGCTCCACTTAGTTAACTGATATTCTTTTGTCCCATTCCTTTCCTTTTGCTCCTTCCCCAACGTTTCCCAAGATGTCCAGTGATAGACAAAGGTCAGATGATGAAAGCCCAAGTACCAGCAGTGGTAGTTCAGACGCAGATCAGAGGGACCCACCAGCACCTGAGCCCGAGGAACAGGAAGAAAGAAAACCTTCTGCAACACAGCAGAAGAAAAATACCAAACTCTCCAGCAAAACTACTGCTAAACTATCTACTAGTGCTAAAAGGTAACAACTCCAAACACCTGAAACATTCCTCCCTCCCTCCCTCTTTAGGGGAAAGGGAGCAGGACAGAAGCTTGATGAGAAGGCACTTAATGTAAAGAGGCAAACTTTGCTCTTTGATGAAAAGGCCTGTAATAAGAGATGGCTTTAAGGTTAGAATCTAGTTTCCGCAGGGCCTCTGGCTCAGATTTCTTTGGGATCTCTTCACCCAACCCATTTGCCAGGTTCAAGATGGAGGTGTGGGTGGGTTGTGTAGGCAGGTTCTTAATCTCTGAACTACATTATTATGGAAAGCACATGTGATAATGTAGGATGAAACCCACTCTGTGAAGGGGGTCCTCTTGCCATCTGCTGGGCTCTGGTTAGCTCCACTTGGCCCATGTGTATTTTTGCATAAGTGACACCTTGTTAATGCACGTGTTGATTCAGGCAAGGAGGCCCACTTCTAGATTCCCATCTTTTATAGCTGTTTGGTGAGGGGGAGGCACCTTGAAATAATGACCCTGTCATTGGCTATTTTATTTTCAATTGAGATTCTTTGGATGCTCTGAAAAAATGATGTTTTGCAAGTTATATGAATTCTGTGGGGGTTGTTTCTTTTAGAGCACCCTTGCAGGTCAACATAGATGGGGGGGTGGGGGGGGATTGTAGGAATTGAAATGCAAGAAGGGCTGTTAACTTGGCTATCTCCTACCTTTGTGGTCCAGCAAGCTATTGATTTTCCTTTGATCTGTGAAGTTTCAAAAACTTGAGAACCTTTTACAGGTTGTCCCTAAGTGAACAATATCACTATCTGCATGTAGAGTTTTTCACAGCTTTGCTTTCAAGAAGCACATGTGCTTCTTATTTTCTTTAATAGCCATTTGAGTTGGGTGAGCTTGAAATACCTTGAATCTTGCCTCTTTGGAGGTAACTGAAGAATCCCTTTTCCTAAAGCTCTGTTTCACCTAGGAATCCACATTACAATATCTGGTAGTCTATCTGTCAAATGGCATCAGACAAGTTTAAAAGTGCAAGCCATTTTTGTTAAAATTTGTAGTAGTTTGACCACTTAAGTGAGCCAGTATGCTTGTGGGTAAAACATGTTGCTATTGTACAGTAGAGTTTCATTAGGAATCTTGAAATGTTTCATTGTATTTTAAGCTCTGCCCGCATTATCTGAGAACAATATTAGCTTTTACCAATCTCATTTAAAATAATGTACTAAATTGAGCATAAATGAAAATAAAATGGTTATGATAAATCTATTAAAAACAGGACATTAATCTTAAAAAAAAAAAACTTCTGATGCATTTAAAGTAACTTGCCAGCTGCTGTCACAAAATAATTTGTACAATATGTTTGTTGTGGAGAAAATGACTCTGAATGTTTTCCTAATTTATTTGGTGTTTTGAAACTTTATCCCCACTTTTTAGTTCCATAGCTTGTGTAAATTTTTGTAGAGCACAAGTCCAAGTATTTAAACTATATCTAGTTTAATCTATATCATAATAATGCATTTTCTATCAACAAAGGATAAATTGCCTGAACTTTTAAAATCTTCAATATTTGTTTCCCTTAAAATATTTTGTTTTGGGAATAAATTACAGACCCTCCATCCTTTTGATATCTTTTTTCTTAAACTGTAATAAAACTGATTAATTTTTTTTAGTTATTGACACATTATAAATTCTGTCCAGGGCTGGATCTATCACTGATAATATTGGTATGTGTTTTATTGAACAGGGTCATTTAGCAAATCTTCAATACAAATATTGGGAAGGAGGAAAGAAATCAGGGGGAAACGTGCATCTAAAGTTATCAGTTGATTTTGCTCTGATCACTTGATTGTATAGTTACGAAGTGAACTGAAATGCTAAAATTCACTGTCTGAAGTGGAGAAAAAATCCAGCCAAAAATATTTACTATGTAATCAGTTTTTGGCTGTAACTCCTTCAGTTAGTGGTACAAAGTCATTCTGAAATCTTCTTGTATTTCCTCTTTCCCTCCCCTTGCCTACCTTCCTGGTTTCATTTGCATATAAGATCTTTTTAATTAAAAAAAATCCTTTATAAAGAATGGGGAAAACTCTTAAGACTCACTTTTTAGAGATCTCTGAAGGGATTCCTGCCAGGCTGAGGTGTAAATGCTCTCTCTGTTTACTATAACAGAGCAGGAAAAAAGCTGTAAAGTTTCTCTGTCCTGGGATTTGGGTTGTGCCTGTGAGAACAAAGAGGAAGCAGCCATGTTAGCATTACAGAAGGCAAAACCAATCTTGCATTTAACTGCATGGTGGTAGAGGGCAGTGTAATTCCCTGATTTATTCAACTGTCTCAAATGCTTTGTGCCTGTTCTCATTTTGCCAACAGAATTCAGAAGGAGCTAGCCGAAATCACCCTGGATCCACCTCCGAACTGCAGGTATGAGACAATCAACTACCCGGCCTTTGGGGGTGCTGATGCAATTGGGGGGTGGGGTGGGCGGAAGGATTTGCAGATTAAAAAAAAAAGTTAAGGTGATTGGAAGATTGCTCAGCAACAGAATTGTGCCATTCTGCAGTATCTGTAGATGAATATCAGATAAAGCAGGAATTGTAAACGGCAAGAGGAACAAGTGTCATTAAATGGCTTTGACAGAAGGTTTGATTGCCAGTGACACAGGGTAAATGCCATATATGTTGGAAATAGTTGCCTTTGTTAACAAGTGTTTTGTTGCGTACATTTAAGCTAAATAGTGATGTGATCATGGATGTGATGTCTTAGTTTAGGACTTAGGAGATGTAGGATATTTGAGGCTTATGACAACATGAACTTAACCTGCATTTGAAAAAAAAAAGATGGTTTCTCTCTCCAACTTCAAGTTTTGGTGTCAGTTTCAAAGATAATTTAAATGTCATATGTTTCATTATTGGATGATATTCCAGGATAATATAAAAATAATTTTGTAGCTTTGGGGAGATTGTAAATTATTGGATGATTATTTTGCATAGAATTCTAAGTCAGCATAGGTGAATAATTCAGTTTTTGAATGAAAGAGTGGTTCAGAAGTTCTTATATGCCAGTTGAAAGATCCCCCACTTTTTTTTGAAAATTAGGAATATGTTTTTTGTTTTGAAAAATTAGCAATGGGTTGCTGTAAGCAAAATTGCAGTTGTGAAATTTCCAGTGTTGGAAAATAAAGTTATTCAAGGATGTGGCTGAAACCTATATTGATTCTTGGTCTTAATCAATTTGTTACGTACTACAGTTTTCACTGACCATTATGTTGAATGCATGGCTGGTGCGAAGGAATATTGCAGCATTTTTTGTGAATGGCTATTTAATTGGATTCTGGGGAAAGGACTATCAAAGCCACGGAGGCTTGTTGTAGCTTTTCTTGTACAAGTGTGTGTGTGTGTGTGTGATTAGCTTCTTAAAACATTTCAATCCAAAAATGTAATATTTATCATTTTTTTTAAAAAAAATAATAATTGATGATTACTGGTAAGTCCCTTACTTTGGTGCTGCAGATCCAATGCCATTTGGAAGCTTGTGGTACAACAAGTTAAACTAGAACACTTGCGGGCTTTTGGTACAGTTGTCGATCTGTCAAATCAAGTCTGGCACAGGCTTCTTTAATCAGTGAAAGAGAATATCTTAGACTCACTATAAAGCAAATGAACTATGAGGGTAGAACTCCTAGATTGTAGCTATTCCTGGATCGTGGGGAAATTTGGGCTAGACACCTGGACAATCTCTACACCTGGAAAAGAAGGAATAATGACATACTCTGCTTTTCGTAAGGATTACTGCAACATCCCGTGAACTTCAGCTGAAAAATGGTCTTTGTGTTTTGTAAAAGAATGGCCACGTTTCCTTTGGGACCATTTCTGTCCTTTAATTCGCCACTTACTGCCCTTTGGAGTCACTTTGGCTCTCTGAAAGGCTATAGTGGGTGTGTGAGAATGAACAGGTAGGATAGGCTGATAATTTTACTGCAATCTCTAAATGAGAACCTTTATGGATTATGCTGCTGAAGTCTGACTGTGAACGATATTTTGCCTCGAGGGACAACTTTTTTTTTTTTTTTTTGGTTCTGTAGTGATATCCAGGAGAATAGATTAGTAATGCTTATTCTCCTTTGCAGCGCTACAGATCCTTTGGGGTAGGCAGGTGAACTTTGCAGGGTAATAAAACTCCATGAAGAGCAACAGCTTTCTTTTTTTCTTTCTCCGAAAGGAAAAGGAGTAGAAGAAGAAGAGCAAATGAATGCGGAAAGAAAAATCAATAACGGATCTCGTTTTGAAAAATATTTTCCCTTCTTCCCTCTCCCCCACCCCTTTCCAGAGAATCATTTCTTTTTGTTCTTGTCAACCCTTTGCTCCTTCGGTTTTTTGGGGGGGGGGTTTTGTGTGTGTGATTCTTTAACCTCTGGGTCCTTTCTCTGCTAGAAGAGCCTCAAAGAAGGGGGGGTCAGTTTTCAGCTGGACCAGACTTTGTAGATTATATACATGGTGCAGAGAGAGGCAGCAGGATTGTGGGAAGGGAACAACCGTTCCTTTCCCTGAGGTAAAGTGTCTTGTGGGCAGGAGCCACCACGGCTAAGCATCAGAGCATGTCCAGGCCAGACATTTATGATTAGCCGAGAGTGGCAAATATACCTCTGCTCTGACAAGGTTGTGGAGGCTGTGAGCGGTGTGAAAGAATTCTTTGTGTAAGTCTTCCAGGATAAGTAGGCCAGTTTAATGGTGCCTTGCCTGAGAGCTTCCCCCTCCCCCTCTCCATTGCTGCAGCTGGCAAAGGGAATTCCCCTCCCTTAATTCCTGGTGATGTGGGTGGAGATCAGGATGGGCTTTCCTAATTAAAAAGGGGGGGGAGGGGAGTCCAGTTTTGGAATCTGAGATAAAGTCCCTGGATAAAAAGGAGGTCTTAAGTTTGCTTGTGAAGGCTTGCCAAGGGGAAAAAAAACCCACACCAAAAGACCTGAATCCTTTTAATATTCAAATTTATCTTCCATCTTTCTTGGGAAGAACATTATCTCTGCCCAAATACCTTTATATTCATAAGTGCTCCACTTTCAGGAGGCAATTAGATTCTTCTGTTAATACAATACAGTTTGGCAAGAGGCATATTGTGTTCTGCTTGCAGGATGAGACAAAACGAAGGGAAAAAGTGGGTCTGCTATAAAAAAAGGTATTTTTTTTCCCCTGAGGGCTGCTGCTTTTGTTAAGGAATACCATCGCTTTTCTTTGTATTAGAACTTGGTTTAGCTCCAGCAGGGCTCTTGAAAGCTTCTGACAACTGTTTCAAAGTTGCGTTTTGTCTTCAGAAACCCATTCCCAAATATATGTGCTTTGGGAGAACAGCTCTTTTTAATGAAATAGCCAATTTTTTACTTTAAAAAAAAAACCTGAATTCAACAACTGGAAGGAATCATTATCCTGGACTGTATTTTGGCAAATGTCAGAATCTGTACTGAATGTATGAATGGCTGATACAAATGAAGCAGTATTTTGTAGGTGGAAATACGATACATGGAGTGTTGATTGTCATGGTTAAGATTGCAAAGGCAAATGTGCTCTTTAATTGAGTTCAATTATTACATGAACACACAGTGCAAAGGGTGTGTGTGTGGCAACAATAGCAAAGTGATGTGTGCTCCAGCTTCCTTTCGGGATCTTTGTTGTTACTGTTATTTACTTCTTTTATCCAGTCCACAGTTCTGGGATTTCTTAGTGCCCTCCTATCCCAGATTGGCATGGCCAAGCTTCATTTCTTAAAAAAAAAAAAAAAAAAAAAAAGGTCTGTGGCCACCTGCTGAGACATAACCACATCAAAGTTCCTTACATCCAAATAGAGAGTCCTTAAAGCAATAAAGGCAGGCTGTGATCTTTGTTGTTTTATGGTGGGGATCTGAGAATAGGAATTCTGCTAAATCTCCTTTGTTGAGTTAACATCCAAGGTGACATTTGAACCTGGGACACTTTTGTTTCTAGTAGCTGAGATTCCTAACTGTTGCAGAGCAGGGTGTAGTAATAGGTTCAGAGTGGTCAGATTTTGCAAGTTCTGCCTTGGCGAATTGGACAAAAGGATACGTTTGACTTATGGTTGAATGTAAGAGTTGCTGTTTCTGTTTTCTGCCTTTAGTAGTACCAGTTACCTATGTACTCCAAATGTAGAGCAATAGGTGGAAAGCTTCACCTATCTTGCTCTCTTTTGCAGTTTGTGTGTGCAAAGATTTTCCTAGTGATGTCAGTCAGTTTGCAAGGTGGGTTTGCAACATGTGGGCGTCCAGATTTTGTTGAGCTACAGCTTCCGGCCTTCCTCAGCATTACTCATGCTGGCAGGCACTGCTAGGAATTGTAGGTTAGTAACATCTAAAAAGCTACAATTTCCCCCTCCCTTCTTCTTCCAAATGAGTTATAAATAGGGCTTCAATCACTCTTCCAAGTGTATACTTAGTTTGGAATTGTAATAAGGAAAAGAATAAAGATTTGCCTGTTCTTTCTTGGAAAAAAAAAGGAGATCAGTCTTCTCAATTACTTAAACTAGCCTTCCCCAATTGGTGCCAGCAAATGTCTTACAGAAGAGTGGGAATTGTAGTCCAGGTTTCCTTAATTGAGAAAGGCAGGTTTAAAGTCTTAGTATTTTAGTGTGATAGACATTCAACAAAGTCAGATCTTCCCAAAGTTGAATTTTTTTCATTGTCCGAGTGAAAAGGAATCACAAATGTTAAAAGGAAACTTGGCTGCTTCTTGGGCCAGAATGATACTAATGTGCAAAGGAAATGATTGAATTACTTTAGGGTTGCTGTGCGTTATTTTGTTTGTATGTATAATTAGGGAGCCACTCTGCTAAATGTAATTGGGGATAATTTACCATGCAACAAACGTTGGCTTTCCTCATTGACTATGACTATTGCAAACATCGTTGCTTGCTCCTTAATACAATTACATTTAACACTCTTTAACTGATGAATGTGACTATTTTGCAGTTTGCTGACAGTTTGGATTGCCTTTTTTTATTTGTTGTCCTTGCGGGAGCAAAGTTGTCCTAATCCAACAACATTTCTGTTAGATTTCAATTTTCATGTCATCGTTCCGGCTTCTGTTTTGTTCAGATTCACACTTCACATTCTCGTGTAAGAATTTCTTATATTTCATCCATTTACATTTCACACTTAGAGAGATCTACTTCCTATTTTTATTTTAATCACACCTATCAAGGTTTCAATTTTTTCTTTAATGTAAAAAAGTTGAGTGTGATATTTTACATTTGGAAAAAAAGTGTGGCACACATATCTTTGGTGCTATAGGGTGATTTAACTCCTATCCAACCTGAGCAGAATCATTGGAGCAGATGGGGAACTCCATCTTCATCTTACTCCATACCAGTAGTGGGTTTCTACTGGTTTGCACCAGTTCCCACGAACCAGTAGTGGC